GGTTGAGGCAGCAGAATTGCTTGAACCCGAGAGGCAGAGGTTGCAGTGAGCCAAGATCGTGCCATTGCACTCCAGCCTGTGTGACAGTAGAAGACTCCATCTCAAAAAAAAAAAAAAAAAGGGAAATAATAACTCCATTTTATCAATTGGTCTAATTCTATCTTCAAGTCCATGTTTTTTTGTTTTTTTTTTTAAAAAAAGAAGAAAAAGAGACCTTTATTCATACCCAGGATCTCGTTTATAGTCACTTAAGAGGAAAGTGAGCCATGTGGGAGCCTGACCCTCAATGACACAGGGTGCGTGTCTTGGCGCATGGCTGTGCTGCTCTCATAGGATTTTAGAGCTTCCTAGTCTGTACTCTGCTTGTAGGCAGGAGCCAGGGATCTTATTTATCTATGGATTTGCTAGAATATCCAAGCATGATTATACCCATTTTGTAGATAATGAAACTGAGGCCCAGAGAAATCGGTAAGTTGCAACAGCTCTTGTAGCTATGTGGAGCCAGAGCAAGTCAGTATCTACAGAGTATAAACTAAGTTTTGTGGCCCTACTTTTTAACCTAGAAATCGGGACACCTGATTTCTCCTGACAGGTCTGAGTGGCACCTGAGTGCAAGCGATTGTCCAGCAGATGCTGACAGAGTAGAGTATCCAGGGATGTTCTGGTGGTTGTTACGGCATAATATTTGGAAACAGGACAGTTGTGAAGAATCCTGGAGAATGACTGCCTCTTTGATTTGACAGGCGTTGAGGGCCTGGACTGTTCAAAGATGGAGCAGCCCAGATGGAGGCAAGCGGAACAGCAGCACCAGGGGGAGAGCCTGAGAGGAGAGTGCTGTTCATCATGTGCTCTGTGCTGTCAGTGGGCACTGACAGCAGTGCAGGAGAAGCATCCTGGGATGAAGCAGGAGGCAGGAGGGGCAAATGGGGAGTCCCTGTGTGCACCTGCTCAGCATCCCCCCAGCTACACACAAATAAAATTTTGTGACCTCCTCTTGGGAGGCTGCATGCTGGACTCTAGGGGCCCAAGGGTCTGAGTTGGTAGTCCCTGGTGGGTTAGAGACTGATTTTGCTCAGAGAGATCCCAAGGCCAGCATCTGGAGAGAAAGGGGAGGAGAGAAGCCAGCCATCCACAGAGAGACCAGCTGAGAAGTGTAATGCTGGCTGGAGTCCCAGCATTAGAACCACAGGCTGCAGGCCAGACATGATGGATGAGCTCCAGGCTCTGCAGAAATTAGCCTGGAGAGTGGGAAAGCAGGGCTGACCAAGCAAGGGAGAAAGATAAAACCTGGGCATCCTTCCTGTCCAGTAAGATAGCCACTAGCTACCTGTGGCTATTTACATTTAAAGTAATGAAAATTAGATAAAATAAAAATATAATTCCTCAGTCTCAGCCACATTTCAAGTGCCTGATAGCTATATATGGCCAGTGGCTGCCAGATTGGGCGGTGCAGATACATTAATATTTCCATCATGCAGAGTGTTTTACTTCAATGTAAATGATCTCATTAATATATTTTGCATTGATCACGTGTTGAAATAACATTCTGGACATATAGAGTTAAACAAGCTGTAATATTAACTTCACATGTTTCTTTTTACTTTTTTTTACTGTGGGCAATAGAAACTTGTCAGTTACCGATGTACCGATTTCTATTGAACAGCATGGTTGTAGGTGGATACAGGAACACACCTCCATTTAGTCATTGTTTTTAATACCACATCCAGCTGATGGTATTTGATTGGATAATGGCTGTAAAAATCCTTTCTCAACAGTAAAGGTCACTGAGGCAGTCCAGGGTAAAGGGGCAAATGTAACTTTGGAGACACAAAAATTCAGGTTCACATCTCATCTTCGTCCCTCTACTAGCTTTGAAGTCTTGGGCAAATTACATGCCTCAGTTTCTCATCTGAAAAATGTAATCAATGAACGATCCACTACATAGCATTTCTTTGAAGGTTACAGAAGATAGTGAATAGCACACGTATGGGGGCTAGCGTGGGCTCCTAGTAAACCTCGGTAAAAAGCATTGTTGTTATCATTAGCATTTTAAGTGTGAAAGTGCAGGGGGTTATGGTCAGTTTTTCTGGCCTGAGAAAGACCAGAAAAACCCTACCCCCTGCCTTCAGCAGCTCCTCCCAGCCTTCTGCAAAGCCCTTGGCACAGCCTGGACACTTACCTGCTGGCAGCTGCTGGCCCAGGAGGCCCGAAGGGCACCCCAGTTTCCCGAGCGCGTGGCCTTGCTCTCCAGGTGCATCCGAAGTTGTGTTTCCAGTTCCTGACTGACTTGTTCAAGGGCATGCACTTTGGCCATATATTCCACCAGGCAGCCCCCTAGGTCCTCAACAGCACCATGGTCCCGCTCCAAACCTGGAGCTGGCATCGTGGCCAGGCCTGAGCTCCGCAGGCCCTGAAGGAAGACACTGCTGATGCCGAGGGCCCGGCGGGTCACACGGGCACCCAGGCCACCTATGCACCCACTGGGTGCTGTTCCTACATAGACCCCAGGTGCTCGGACAAGGCCACTCATGGCATTGGTCCTGGAGGCTGGGGGGCTATCCAGGGAGGATGATGACCGCAGCCCCCTGAAGGATGCCCTGCGCCTCTGGAGGGGCATGCTGGAGCTGGTACTGGTGGGCAAGTCCACTACTACTCGCCTCTCACTCATCACCCCTTCTGCCTCTGTGGTGCCCAAGTGGGTTTACAGAGTCCAGTGGCTTTTGGTTTACAGCCCCAGCATCCCTGTGGCCTGGTCACGGGCCTCTCTGGAATCTCCCCTATGCCCGGGGCTGCTTTGTCTGCTGTCTTCCATGAGTTTCCATCATTCACTGAGCTGAAAGAGAAATGGGCACTGGCCAGGGCTGCGTGCAGAGAGGCACTCATGCATTCTTTGATGTAGGGTCATGTGCCCAACCTCCTAGATTTTTCTGCTGCTGGTGGGGAAGGCTGGATCAGTGCAGGCTGTGGGGGTAGATCATCTGGGTTTGTGCACTTTACTACCTAAGAGTGGGCAAGGCAGGCATCAAGCAACCCCATTTTACAGATGAATAAACTGAGGCTCAACGACCTCAGATCACAAGTGATCACTTGCCCCAGACCTCACATTACAAGCTAGAACTCAATCTAGCTATTTCAGGGCTAATTTCAGTGCTTTCTATACCCCTATGTGTGCTGGTACATGTGAATGTGAACACATGTCCACACAGACAGTAGAGGATGAAAAATGGCAGGATGCAGCCCCAGGGACCCAAGAGAAAAGCCCCTGCCTGTGGTTTCCTTCCCCCTTCTCTCAGTCCTGGCAGCAGCTTCAGGTCCTTCCCTCGTCTCTCTCCTTCCTTCCTCATCTCTGTCCTCAGATTCTCTGTTCATCAGCTGCTTGTTGTTGGCCAGGATACTTCCTCCCTCTGGACCTCACTTTCTGAACATCGGCCTGAGCCTCTAACTCTCTGATGTACTAGATAAGGATCTTGGGCAAATTCAGGCCTCACACATTATGTTCTGACCATTCTCTCCACCTCTGCTTCTCCATCTGTTGGAAAACTGATACGTAAAAACAACAGAGAGTGTTTTCTGGCAAGCTCTCCAAGGGTGCTTCAAGTTAGGTATGATGACACCCCTGGGTTTTAATTTTTGACCTTGGCATCCACTAAGCCATCAAGGGTCACACCTCAATCACTTCTCTAGGATCAGAAGGGTTCCTCAAGGTCCAGGATGACAACATGGACCTAAAAATCTCTGTATTTAAGTTTTAGCCTGGAGAAACCAGGTCACCAAACCCCAGAGCTGGATATTTTTCCAGATGCTGTAATGTAGGAATGTACCTCAGGTGAGAGAAGAAGGGAGCCAACCTCTAGTGAGTACCAAATCCAGCCTGCTGTGTGCATGAATCCTATAGTTTACTTCATGGAATTCTCAACCCAACCTTAGCAGGAAGGAGGTCCAGGGTTGACAAGTACTGCCATATGGGCTGTGCACTTCACAGCTCCAAAGTACCGTATCACGTGTCCTATGGTTGGCCACTATCTTCTTACATGAGGAGGACCCTGAGAGCTGCAATGATTTGTCCAAGGTCCCAGGTCCAGGAAGTAGCAGAGCTGGGGGGAGACAGCCTCTTCCAACCTCTGGGCCAGTGACTTACTTAAGAGCCTCCATGTTGCCCACCACCCAGAGATCAGGGTACCTACACAAGGTCACACAGGTTAAGTTAAAAAACCTGGTCTACTACTACTAGAAGATCTGTGTGTACTTCCTTCTTGCTGCCCAGGACGCTCCAACCATTCCTTTCTTTGTTGTCTTCCACTTTGTCCATTTGACATGATCTAGGAGGTATTTTATAAATATCAATGTTGGCTATTTGATGAACAGATGAGAGAACCGATTGGATTAAGTAAAAGCCAGTAGTGTCCTTGTTTATTCAGATGTAGCATTAATGCTGTGAACACCAGCCCTGATACACCCAGAAGGGGCATGAGAGGCTGTGTTAAAGTAACAGCCTCCTGTACAGGTGACACTGACTTGGTTCTGAGGATCTGCGTTATTGTGAATTCCAAGATGTACTGTCTAAGGCTGAATGAAAGGTTCAAGCTACTGATTAAGTTATGCACAAATGTGTCATGTTTAGGCATTGTTATTCTCTACAGAATGGTAACACTCAATGGCCAGGTTAACTTCAGACACCTCTGGGCCAAAGATATTTACTATATAAATCCACTCAGCCCTGGAGATGGGGAGAATGGTGGGGGGATGTACTTTAATTGACACCACTGTCTCCAAAGATCTGATGAAAGATGACTCTAGTTTGGAGAAATTGCAAACATGTTCAAAAAGATTTATTTTATCAAATGATAAATTGCTAATCCTATTAGCTCGTCATGTACATAAAACTCACCTGTTAAATCAGATTAAAAAATACGGATGGACATAAAGTGGCATTGGTACTGCTTAAGGAAGACAGAACTTATCTTAAAATGAAAAGAATGCAAAATGCATTAGCAACGGAATCCTCTGGCTAACAAAATAAGTTTATTTATATATCCATGGTAGCCGAAATCTGTGGATACGGAAAAATAAGTCATACATCCACGTACGTGTATATATAACATATGTATCTTGGATTACATATATTATATATAAATTTTACTTTACAGATTTTTCTCTATGTATACTCACACACATTGGTATATTAAATGTAACAGTTAACAGAAATATTATGGTAAGGTTAAAAAGGTCAGACAACAACACGCTAGAAAATTAAACTTAGAGAAACATTTAACCTGCTTCTTTGTGGGTTGAAGAGTCTTTGAAGAGAGACAACAACTGAACTCATATGAAGTAGGTTTATACAACACTAAGAACACACTTTTGAAGGCCATCTTTTTTTTTAAGGAAAACGCAGAAAGAAAAAAGTCATGATAAAAAGACCACAGCAACAACACAAACATATGAATCAACATTCGAGTTCAATTCCCAATCCAACTATAAGAGCATCTATATTCAAAATATACTATCAAACTAGCTTTATTTTAGAGAAAGAAAGTGTCAAAGCAGTAATCATCTCTCTCAGCCACGATCAGGAAAAAATAGAGAAGCAGCCACCTCTGGCAGCCTCTTGGGCATCTCTGAGGGTCTGACCCTGTTGGCCACGCTGGACACGGCACGGTGAGGCAGCCAGCCAGTGGGGAACGAGGCGAGCAGTGGAAGCTGCGAGCTGCGTGGCAAGTCCACCGGCTGGTGCTTCGAGCAGGTTTGCAGGGGCAAGTAGGAGTGTAATGATGTCTTCTCGGAAATGACTTGCTTGGCAATCTTTTTTTTTTTTTTTTTTAAAGATTGCAGGAGGAAGGTTTCAAAAATCATAGCTCTGCTACCTCAAAGCTTCTTAGATAAACGTGTTCCTTAGGGGCACAATACCGTGGCCTTTTGAGAAAACAAAGCTAAACCCCAATAAACATTTGATCCTTGAAGAAGGGCAAGCATTTTAAAGCTCCAAGGCTGGGATCTGCATCTAAACCCTCTCCAAGAGAAAGGCACGGGTGTTTAATGCAGATTGAGCGTTGGAGGGGATGCAGGAACGGGCATGAAGGGAGCATTTTCCCACCAGGGAAAGGCAGTCTTGTTGTTAGCAGTGGAAGCAATGTTAGGGGGATGTGGCCTTGGGATGCCTTGATGTCCTCCATGGATTCCCAAGGACTCCATGCTTCTGTCTGCTGTCTACAACTTTTAAACATGACATCCAATGGTGGTGTCGTGAGGCTCCAGGGCCCCCATCCTTGGGGGTGATGAGGTGTTCCCTTTTCCTGCCCTGTGCATGAGTCTGCCATCTTCCCCCAGGTGGCCCAGTTCCCTTTACAGGTGTGCGTATGAGAGGGAGGAAATGGGCCACGCCAAATCAAGAGGAACCAGAGCTTTAAGAATCACTCAAAGAACTGTGCACTTGACCACTGTAACACTGAGCTTCTACAGGAGGTCAGTCTCTTACCTCACCTGACTAGGGTTCCTGGGATCCCCAGGTGCTCAAAAATAGTTATTAAGAGAAGCAATCAATGCAACTGCTTTGCTTAGAAATACCTTTATTTTATAAAGCCACAGATCATTCTGTAAATTTTTTTTTAAACCACACTTGTAAAAAAGATGTTGACAATTCATAGGAAAAGAAAGCTGAAAATGTTTCTCATTAAGTCAGGGTTACACAAAGGTTATATTTATAATATATATATTTGTATATTTATAATTTAGAGACGAAAAATAGGGAATAGCAAAGCGAAGCCTGCTGCAGTTAGATCTCAGATACTTGATCGTTTCCCACAAACAGTGTTTCTTGACAGAAGGGGTTAACAAGGACCATCCCAGTGTCTCTGTAGTCGCCATTGGCTGGGGAACGGGGCTCTGAAAGCTGGTCCTGGGGAGAGAGAGCAAGGAGATGGAGTGAGCTGGAGAAGGCATAGGGTGGCCCGTTCTTAAAACTACACATGGGAACATTTATTTCAGCACTGAGGGCTTGGCACACATTTTCGTCATCCCCACTGATAATGCTGAGGCATACAGCCCTCTCTGCTATTCTTTTAATTAGTTTGTGTGTGTGTATGTGTGTGCGTATTTTTTTATGCTGTTCTTTCAGATTTTTATAGCAGCTCCCAAAAAATGTTTCCTGCTTCTGGAATTACCCCAATCCCAGGTTGCCAGAGGTGGTACTACTTTTCTTGTCAAAGTCTGAGGGGGCTTGCCATGCATAACACACATACAGTGCATGGCTCACTGCACTAGTAGTGAAACTTGGTCCACATGGACCCCAGACTATACTTCCTGCCTCTTTCTCACTGACTTCTGGGAAACTCTGCTTCTCCTTCCTGAATATATGTAGACTCACTCACCTCTTTCCCTTCCTGCTACCTACCTATCAGGATCTAACAGGCCTGTCAAGAGGCTTCAAGGGTCAATTCCTTCCCCATTCTGAGGCCTTCCAGACTCTGGTCAGAATCATTGCCCCATTTCTTATAGCACTAGCAATGCTGAGCTGAATGGATCTGCATTTCTGTGTGACTGCACAATACATGATAAATGAAAATTTCAGTCTGTATGTTCAACTGCAGGAGCAGAAAAGCCTAGAAATAGGCAATCCACTGCCCAGAGGGTAAGCTGTATGGGTTTGGCAGGGTTTTGGTTTTAGCTACTAAGGACAGCAAACATTTATGGGTCACTAAATGGCTGTGCTTGGATTCGGGCCTGGTACTAATTTAAAGAAAGGAAAAAAGAAAGTCATAGCTTGTTCCAATTAAAACAGCTAACGACTCAGAACCTTCAAGCCATTTCAGGGCAAAGACTCAACTACAGGCCTACGTATACTGGCTCATGCCAGACTTGGTTAGAAATATCTTAAGTAGACACAATTAATTCTCTTAAGTTTATTATTATTATTATTTTTTGCTTTTTGCTTTTTTTCCTCTTTTCTGATCATTTTGCAAAGCAATTAAGTTTATTTTTAAACAAAACATGCGTAATAGATACTTTCTGAGGAGTACTTACTGCTCTACGAATCCTAAGGGGAGAAATGGCATTGTTGATCAAATGTCTTTTCAGAAGGCAAGAACCTCCTTCAGTGTCTGGAATTAGTTGAACACTTATCTAAGTGTGGACATGGGGCCAGCCATCTAAGAAAAATAGTGGAGCACCTCAAAGAGAGACAAAAATCCTTTTCCTGCACCATGCTTTTGGGTTCAACTGTGGAGGCTGGATTAGGCTTGTCATTTTACAGCTTTCACAAAGCAAGTATTCACCAAAGGCAAAACCATGTGGGTATGCTTTGCTGCATGAAAAAGGGAGTTATTTAGGAAACAACCAAGGCAAAGGAGAAGAAAAAAAAGGAGGAGGAGATGGGGAGGGAGAAAAGAAGGGAGGAGATAAAGCAGGGAGGAGGAGGGGGGGGGGGGGGGGGGGGGGGGGTGGAAAGAGAAAAAAGAATGGAAGTTTCCAAGCACCTTTTGGGCATCACAATTTTGCCTGTACAGCCCTAGACCTGTGTTTTGCTGCCTGCATCAACACAGAAGGTGGAGCATGGCATCAGAGGAACTTGCTCAGGCAAAGCATTTGGCAGTCTCCAAAGTTAGCAGCTAAAGGGCAGGTGGTGAGTGCATGTCCCAGGGTCATGGAACATGGTGGAATAGGAACTGGTACCTTACAATTGCTCTAGAGATGGTTGGTTGTGTGTGTGTGTGTGTGTGTGTGTGTGCGCGCGCACGCGTGTGTGTGTGTGTGTGCGCGCCTGTGTGTGCCCAGCTGGCTTCATCCTGGTCCCAGCCTGCCTGCATTTGCCCTCAAATAGTGTGAGCCCGGAGAGCTGGAACAAACTGTAATATTACTCTAAATAAAGCAGAACGAGAGGAACTGCTTGCTGGGAGGGAAACAGCAGAATCCAGTCCACTCTGAGGCCAAGCTGAGCTTTGTGCTTGCTGGTCCTGGTCTGGAGATCATGACTGGTGGGGCACCCCTTTCTACCAGAGCCTCTGGCTTGTGTTGGATGGCGGCCCTCGTGCTCTGTGCCAAGTGACTAACTGGGATGTTCTAAAAGCAAGGGCATTTTCTAGAGTGTGTTCACGCGTATTGTCCTTTGGCTTTGGTTTTCATTTACCAATTTGCAAAGAGAATATGAGAAATTTAGGGCTCAGGGGTTCACAGCCCATCCCTAAAGTAGGACCAGCCCTGTTGTCAAGTTACACACTTTTCCCCACTTACTATAGCCGATCTCAGGAACACTTTTTCCAAGCAAAATGTGCACAGGCCACACTAAAGGTCACTGCTGCAATGAAGCTGCCCCTCGTTTGTCCTCTGGTTAAAAATTTCTCTTGGGCATATACTGTGTGTTAGGCTCTGGCTGGGTGATGGGTAAATTGTGGTGAACAACATTTATAGTTCATTTGCTTGATAAACGTTTACTAAGAACCTACCACATGCCAGGCACTGCTCTAGGTGCTGGGAATAGGGCAGTGAGCACAGCAAACATGCTTCTGCCTCAGGCAGCAGGAGAGGCAGACCACACACCAATCAGCAGAGAGAGAAGGATGCAATGTCAAGCAGTAAGAAGTGCTCTGAAGACAAATAAAGCAAGGAAGAGGAAACAGAATGAGGTTGGGGATCTAAATAATACAGAGCAGTGAGGGAGGGAGGGTTTCCCAGAGGAGGTGGCATTTGAACAGAGACCCGAAGGAGATGAGGTATCAATAAAATTTTCTGACAGACTGGAAGTAGGGTATACAAGAAGGAAGGGCAGCTGGCAGTACCATCTATGTAAAGAGAAGCCGCAGGAGGGGGAAATCAAGGGTTCAATCTTGGGTGTGTGGAGTTTGAGTGCCTATTTATGCAGCAGCAGGTAGCTGTGTACATGAGTCTGGGGTCAGGGGAGACGTCAAGGCTACAGGTAGACGTTTGTACTCTATAGTGCAGAGATGGTATTTAAGTCATGGGACTAAGTAGAAAGAGAAGAGAAGTGGCAGGTCATGGCGGCTCAGGCCTGTAATCCCAGCACTTTGGGAGGCTGAGGTGGGTGGGTCACTTGAGGTCAGGAGTTCAAGACCAGCCTGACCAACATGGTGAAACCCTGTCTCTACTAAGAATACAAAAATTAGCCTGGCCTGGTGGCGTGTGCTTGTAGTCCCAGCTACTCAGGAGTCTGAGGCAGGAGAATCAATTGAACCTGGGAGGTGGAGGTTGCAGTGAGCCAAGATCATGCCAAAAAAAAAAAAAAAAAAAGAAAGAGAAGAGATGTGGTGTCAGGATGGAGATGGGGCACTCCAGTGAACAGAGGTTGGGGAAAGGACAAGGAATCAGGAACGGGAGCTGGGGAGAGCCTGAGAGGGCAGGGCCTCTGCTGCCATGTGACCGCCAGTGTCGCTGCAGATGGAGCAGGAGGAGTGCTCGGAATCGGCTCCTGGGTTCAGCAATGTGGAAGCACCTGGTTGCTCAGGTGGGGGAGAGAGGCACTGAGCTAATATCAGATCAGTAGCGTGCGTATCACGGCTCTAAAAGGTGTCAAAATGAAAAAGCATAGGGAGCTGAGACCACGTGACGAGAGAGCAGAACCCAACCTGGCAGGTTAAGGAAGGCCTCGCGGAGGAATTGACATTTAGACTGGGCCCTGAAGGGTGAGTTGGGAGTCACTAAGGTGAGCAAGAGAAGGGGGCGCTGGGGAGACTGCAGACGGTGCAGGAGAGGCATCAGCTCATGCACACACCTGGAGTGAGTGTGATGTGCTTGGTGCTGGGAAGGAACAAAATGAATTCCAGCATGGCTGGAGCTTAGCAGAAGAGGGGGAGAGGGGTGTGATGTGAGGCTGGAAAATTGGGCTGGGTTAGGTCTACCTTGCAGGTCCTATACAAGACTCTGAACTTTAACTTGAGAGAAATGGGAAGGTTTTAAGCATGGGAGCAATGTGACCACAATTATGTTTACAAAAGCTCACCCTGGGGAATGGACCTACATGGGAAGGTGGGGGCTGTACCTCTGCAAGAACTCTTCTCAGCTCTCACTGCCTTACTCAGATGTCTGTTATCTTTTTCCTGGGCTATCTCAATCACATACTAGTTGAGCTACCTATTTTTAGTCTGTCTTTCTGTGTCATTCCATCCATTTACTCATCCATCGAGTCATTCTTATTTTTTTTCTTTTTTCTTTTCCTTATCCATTCACTGATCATAAATAGGGTGTTTTCACCAGGCCATTGGCATAACTCTTCTAAGACTGGGTCACCCAAAGATCAAAACTTTCAGTGATTCTCTGCTGCCCCAAACTAGAGTCCCAATGCCATAACACCCTATTCAAGGCTGTGTCTAATCTGGCCTTTATCCTTCCTTCCTATTCCACGGTGGCCTCTACTCCACCCTCCGTGTGAAAAAGGAAAGAGCATGAATTCTGTGGTTAGAGTCCTGGGTTCAAAGCTCGGCTTTCTCACTGACTAGCCAGGTGTCTTGGGAAAACACCCCCTGACATTGTTTTCTCTCCTTTCAGATCTAGCACGTGTCCCTACCTCTCCCCAGGCTACTTCCTTTGCTGGAATGCCTGCTGAAATCCACTGATCCTTCCTAGCATCTCCACTGGGAAGGCTTGCCTCCCTGGGTTTCCACAGCTCCTTTTCCATAACTCGTCTTGTGCTTCCCCAGTTGGCTTTGCTTTTGGGTGATGCTGGGGTTTGTCCCCCAGCCACATCTCAGAACCTCAGCCCCTTAGGACCAAGCTCTCATCTTCATAGTCCCCTGGGAATGCTTGGCACAAAACAGGTTCTCACGGAGTATTTGTTCACTTGTTCCCAGAAACCAAAAGTCCCAGGAACAGTGCTTCCAAAATTTAATGTGCAGAAAGCACCTGGTGATTCTTGCTAAAACACAGATCCTGGTTCAGGAGGGGCGGGGCAGAGCCCACAACATCTTGGGTGTTACTGATGCTGCTGGTCCACAGGACCTTAAGGAGCAAGGCACTCAGAAAGGAGCAGATGCCCCATGGCTGTCTTTGGGCCTGGTTTCCCTGCAGTGGGGCCAATACTTCCAAGCTCATTACCTCAGAGGTTTCCAGGGACTGGATCTCCCTGGGCAGCTCCACAGCATGCCTGTTGAAGTAGTCCATGGTGATGGCATTGTTCCAGTAGCTCAGGTTGTTCTCTGGGTTGGCAGTCTTCTTCTTCCTCTTCATGCAGCACACTGTCAGCAGGACAGCTGTGGAGAGAGTGCAAGTCAGAGGGGAGGGAGGCTGCAAGGATGGTGCCTGAGTTGCACCACTGGACTGGTGAGGAGAGGTCCCAGCTGGAGCTGGGAACCAGATGATGGAGTCTCACTCCATCGCCCAGGCTGGAGTGCAGTGGTGTGATCTCGGTTCACTGCAACCTCTGCTTCCTGGGTTCAAGTGATTCTCCTGCCTCAGCCTCCTGAGTAGCTGGGATTACAGGTACCCACCACCACGTTTGGCTATTTTTGTATTTTTAGTATAGATGGATGGAGTTTCTCCAAGTTGGTCAGGCTGATCTTGAACTCCTGACCTCAAGTGATCCACCAGCCTCTGCCTCCCAAAGTGCTGGGATTACAGGTGTGAGCCACCATGCCCAGTCAGTCTATGCTCTTAACCAGCTGATTCCCACCTTAGGCTGACGCAAAAGCCCACCTGCACAGATGGCCTGAATTGGGCTCCACACAGCTTGACTGACCACAGTGTGACATGTGACCCTGTCTGTTCATGAGACTTGCAGAGCCCAGGAGGAAGAATTATGTCTGGATTTGGCTGATTAACCAGGTGTGAACTGAGTGGCTTGTGAACAGGGAAGGCTTCTGAGGTCAGAGAGGTGGGGAGGCCTATTTAGATTCACATGGCAGAAGGGTAACACAAGGACAAGGGTGACAGAGGCCCTCTTGGGGAGAAGCCATGAAGTGAGGCCTGAGTGTATCTTGCCCCAGGTTCATCATCACCAGAGCCTCTGGGGATGAGAGGAGCTGAAACCAAGGGCCACAGCCAACATCCTGGTGGTGCCAACCATGTGCAGGAGAGTCAGGGGCCCAGGCTGAGCTGTCTAGAGAGCCTGGCAGCAGGGGGTGGCAGAGGGTCAGCTCTATCCGCAGCATCCTGGGGGTCTGGCCAATGTCAGGGGTGGGTTTGTGCCAGGGTGTGGGGCAGCTACAAAAGCTGGCATGTGTACAGGGCGAGAACCTCAGAGTCCAGGGCCCTGGGGGCTGCCTGGGAAATTCTGTAGCTTCCTTTCCAGCTGCCAGCCTTGCTGGCCTCTCAACCTCTGAAAAGGTCTCTGTAAAAGGTTAGGAGATAGGGTAAGTTTCTACTTTATTGGATCTGCTTTGATCAAAAAGACTTCTAATTTGCTTTTCATTCTTCCAGATCCTTTGCAAAGAAACCTTTAAAACACAGAGGAGATTTCTGAATGTTTGAGCTAAGAGGGATTTTAGAGATTAGCTGGTACAGAATTTTTCAAATCTTGTGAGTCTCTCTTCTTTTTCCCTCCCTTCCTTCCAAAGAACCTTTTCTTCAGATGGTTGAAGAGGAAAGGGGCAAGGAGGGGGCGGTGGTGCTCAGCTTGAAACTTCCTAATTTAGGCCACCTCCTTATTCTACAGAGGAGACACTGTGGCCTAAAGTGCTGGCCAACTTGCCACAAGTCACAGGTATGTGAGTGGCAGAGCTGGGACAAGACCCCAGATCTCCTCTCCCCTTCTCCGGTGTCTCTGTTCTTCATTGTCACTACCTTTAACTCTGCTCCTGCAGCTGGGATGGTGAAATACCTGGGGGAATTCTAGCTGGTGCGACAGAAGTCATAAAGAGGGAACCAACTGGGAAGTGGGAAAAGTGCTGTTTCCTCAGCTCTAGCTCAGTTCTGGTAGAATTAGAGCAATTGACAGGGACATTTCCTATGTTGGGACGAACAGAACAACTCTTCAATTATCGGCCTGTTGGGGAACATCCCATCATACCCCATAAAACATTGCCATAGACACAAAACCCAGGCTGGTGGGGGAAAATGTATTTGTGAGTCAGATTTGTATAGTTTGCATACTTCTCTAAGGTAAAAAGATATTTGTGCCTCTGAACTATTGAGTGGTTACAAGCAAACAGAATGAAAGTGACAGATGCCATCTTAGGCCTAGTCAATATGGCAAGAGAGACACAGAATTTAGACTTAGAATTTAGGTGATAATCTATTACTTGCATGACTTAAGTTACGTAACCTCTCCCAGCCTCAGCTTCCTTGGGAAGATTAAATGTAGTCATACATCTGCCAGCACTTCAAATCGTCCCTGGTACACAGTAGATGCCGAACCAGATCAGCCCTTTCCCCCAGCCTACATTCTTATTCTACAAGGCAGGGCATGGAAACCTAGAGAGGTGAACATGCTGCTAACCTGGGCTGGTAGAGGTTGCAGAGTCCAAATTCTCCAACTCCCAGTCCAGTGCTCTAACAGCCCATGTTTTTAAAATGCACATGCAGAGATCCTGTACTGCGGGAAGGCCTGGGAGTCAGAACGGAAAGTTCTGCTGCACGCTTTCTTTCCCTCGCATGGCCTGATTATATTTCTCTCACAGAGTTTCCAGTGCTTCTCACACATCATTTCATTCACTTACTGGAAGCCAGCCTGGGTACAGAAAGACCTACGTTCAAGTTGTGACTCTGCCATGTTCTCCATCTGGAAAGTCACTTCATCTCTCTGATTAAGATGGACTTCATAGGCTCGTAATGAGAATTAAAGAGACCATGGATGCAAAATGCCGAACACAATGTCTGACATGCAGTGGATGCTTAATTAATGAGAGGTCTCTTCTTGTTCTCCCAACATCCTCTACAAGAGAGACCTAGAAAGAAAAACTGTGTTACATGACTCTTGGGTGATTCAGGCCAAAGCTCCCCTTAGGGGTTGGAACCCTCATTATTTCAGTGGTCTCGCCTTTCATCCAAGAATGAAAAGTACAAGTCAGACTTACAGGGTCTCTACTATATTCCCAGCACTGATCCAGGCACTTTAAAGCTTATTTAGACCACATGATAACTGCCTGAGGAAGGCACTGTTTCTCATCCCATTTTCAGAACAGGTAACTGAAGGTCATAGAAGCTAATAGCATTGATCTTGATCACCCAACCTGCAATGTGAAGCCAGGTCTTGATGATCTTCAAGTTGATATCCACTGTCCTACACTGTCCTGAACACTGGAGGGTATAGAGATGACATATGTAAAAGTGTTTTGTAAATTGTGCAGCTCTCTGCAAACACAAGGTATTAGGTGTTCTCTTTTTCATTTAGTTGAAAAGTTTCAACTGCTCTGTTTCTCCTGAGGTAGTAGCCACCAAGACTCTGGAGGAGGTTATGGAGTCCCAATTTCCTTGAGTTTTAAAACAGAGCTCAGAATTAAGCTCTCTTGGCTTCCCAGAAATGTCACTGGGGAGTCATCCATGGCTTGTCAGATGTGTGACAGGAAGAAGAGGGGTCATTGATTTTAAGATGGAGCCCTGAGTACTGTGTTCACATTTGTGGAAGGGGCATGCTTTCAGGTGATGGGACCTGCTGTGTGATGAGAAATGGAAATGAAACCCTGCAGGTCCCCTGAGGATTCAACCTTTTCAAACACCTATTGAATTGCTCTTTCCCTGGCCTGTTTGATCAGGCAGTGCAAATCCTATCAACAGAAAGATGAATAATCATCGTTGTTTGATCACTGCCATTTACTGAGTACCTTCTCCATGGCAGACACTAAGATAAGACCTAACATGTATCATCTCTGATTTTACAAGTCTTTGAGGTTTCAGCCATGAAAACGCCCTGGTCAGCTGTGATTGACCATGACAGGGGTACTAGTGCAGGCCTGTTCCTGCTGGACATGGAACCCCTCTAAAGGCTCAAGGACTCCCACTGGCTGGCAGAAACTTTCTTAGAACAGTACTGCAATATAAGACTCTTCATACTGAATCCTCTTTCCTCCTCCCTCTCCTTTCATGGGAGTCAGGCCTGCACTGAAGTCAGGCTCCCTCTGCTTACTTTGATTCCTTCCTGAACATTTTACAGGTGTTTCCCCCAATAATTCTCTTATATGCCTAATCCCATCTTGGTGCCTGCATCTTAAAGTAACTAACACAGTGGACAGGAGTCCCATTTTGCAGACAGGAAGACACTGGATAAATGGTTAAGTCACTTGTGTAAGTCCTACAGCCAACAAATGTCAAGAGCTGGGGTTTGTGCAGGTATGTTTGATTCCACAAGCCAAGTCTTAAAAGCACACCAGGCTTCCTCTAGTGATCCATGCAGGCTTAACGATGAGGACACATTTCAGTTTGGGCCCTTTGTTTTGTAGATGAGAAGCCTGAGACCAGTGAGGGAACGGATTCACCCAGGGGTGCCAGTGTAAGGGGTGCACCTGGGCTGTGCACAGCCATTTCCCTCCTTTGGAGGCTGAGGGAGGAGGTTGCAGGGAGGCCTCAGGGTATGGAGGGAGGCCAGGCTTGGGGGCTTAGTTCCAACAGAGGTGCTGACTGGGATGCACAGGGAAGAGCTGTCAGAGTGTGTTCAATCACTTGAACCTCTGCCTCCTGGGTTCAAGTGATTCTCCCGCCTCAACCTCCAAGTAGCTGAGACTACAGGCACATGCCACCATGCCCAGCTAATTTTTGTATTTTTAGTAGAGGCGGGGTTTCACCATGTTGGCCAGGATGGTCTCCATCTGTTGACCTTGTGATCCACCCGCCTCAGCCTCCCAAAGTGCTGGGATTACAGGCATGCGTCACCATGCCCAGCATAGGTTTTCTTATATAATAATTATAAACTCATTCAGGGCCTGTGAGCGAAAAGACACACACATATATTCAAGTCTAATGTTCACTGAACAACTACTGGGCACAATGATATGTGATCTCTTTGAATGGCACACTAATGATCCAGTGTCTGGAAGGAGGCCAGATTGCTCTGGGGCCCAGGTGCAGAGGGTGCCCTCAAGTGTCTAGCATCTGAGAGAGGGGCTACCACTTTGGCCAGGCTGAACTTGAGTTGGTGATGACAAACATCTGCAGCTAGTCTTTTTTTCACCCTCCAAACAGTCCTAGCTTCTTGCAGAGGGGATGGGTGAAGACAGTCTCAAAAACGGACATCACATGTGACAGATGGGCAAAGGAGCCTGCCAGGGCCACAAAATGACATGCTCATGAAAACCCAGAGGCTTGACAATGGTGAGCACGGACCAATTCAGTGCCAGGCTTGGAGGCTTCTAGCTAAGGTGGTGGGCTCTGTGCGTCCTGATGGTGGCAGCAGAGACCAGCTCAGGAGCCACCTGGCTCCTCTGCCCTAGCCCAGTATGGCCTGGATCCAATCAATTTCAGTTCTCAGCACTTCTGAAAATGTGTGTGGCTGACAGCGTCTGGCAGGGCTCAGGAGAGGAAAAGCATTTCTCAGCCCGGGGACACATACATCCTTCCAGCCACTGGTTGCAGCTTGTGATCTGGGAGGGCAGGTGAACTCACACCCTCCCTCCTTAGGCAGGCCTGGGATCTGCCTTGCTCTTCCCCTACTTGCATTCAGAGCAGAGGGTCACCCCTGCCCAACACCCATCTGAGCTCTGACTTTGGTGGCTTCAGTGAGAAGTAGGGCAGAGGTCAGTGTTGGTATGAAAGGCCAGATGAGAAGAAACTGATGCATGCACTTTGCTACTGACTCAGAATGCCTGAAATATCTGGCAAACTGGCAAAAGATGAAACCTTTCTTTGAGGTCTGTAGAGTAGCTTTAGGATAAATGAAGCCACTGAGAAGGTCCAAAACAAGCGGCCCTTAGACCTGGAAGAGGTCTGCTTTCCTGATAACTAGGGTGGTGCTAGGCTATGACGACAGCCCAAATAGTTGAGGATATTTCCTGAGAGCACAGGGTTCTGAATCTGGACGAATATTATTCCACCTTACTGTCCCTCTCATTGGAGCCTTCACAGGGTTAACGATGGTCCCATAGGAGCTAGGGCCGTGACTCAGGACAGGGAGCTGAGGTGGAGGCAGTCAGGGCCGAGGCAAGAGCCTCCTTGTGTGTAGCGGAAATGCAAGACAGGCATCAAAGGAAGTGGGGTCTGAGGTTCCCAAGGGGCTACCAGAGGCCACTTTTATTAAAAGCTTGTGTCTTTCTTTAGAAGGTACTATGTTTCATCTCCAGCACCCGAAGGCTCCTTTCAGGGTGCCAGAAGAATCCTTGAGCGACAGTTCCAGGCTGTGTCCTTGCTTCTGTCTTGGCTGACATTTTCATGCATGGTTTAGGCAGCCCATGGGCTTTCCAGCTTTGCAGATCTGATCTAATTTCAACCTTATACATAACAGAAGGGCTGGGGGAGAAGTAGGAGTCCTTTTAGAATTGCAAAACCCAGGTGGGCGTAGCCTGTGGGGTGCAGGCTATCCAGCTCAGACAAAGAGGGAGGCCCACATCTCAGATTCCCTAATGCTTGGTGCAGTGTCTGGCACACAGTGGGCACACAGGAAATCCTGCATTGAACCAAACACATTTTGTACTACTAGACCTAGGCTGACTCAATGTGTGCTTGGGACCCCGGATCAATCACTTCACCTGGTGACTTACTCCCCACTTGTAAGGAGTGGAGGATGGCTGGAGTCCTGAGGTGCCTGTGTGTTGGGTAGCGTGTTTGCTTGTTTCTGCTTTTATTTCTCTGGCTGGTCTAAGAATGGAATGATAAATAAATAATGGAATGCACTTTAATAACGTAATGCACACAGTACATGTATCTAGAGAATCCTAGACACATGTAAAGACTGGAAAATTAGAAAGCTGTCTCTACCGCAGCTACTTCTCAGATATGACCGACCATTATTAAGACTTTATTGGCTAATACTACATTTTTTCATGACCATTCTTCTGTTTTAGAAGTAGGCAATCACAGTTTTAAGACTAAATGTGTGTTTCCATGAGATACCATAAAGCTGTTTTCATTAAGAATGAAATGTGCAACTTGCAAACGCTTTACTTTTCTTGAATTGGGTCCTTCAGTAGAAGCAGGTCGCCCAGCCCTGACATGGAAATTTACTGTGCTTATCAACCTGAGGGAGACAGAAAGCTGGGAGAGGTGGCTCCTGAAAAGAATCTAGACTCCAGATTTAAAAGATCTTGTAACACAAGGCCAAGTGGATATAATGGTTCACATTAAAGGCATAAACCTCCTGCACTACCCACCCAAGGTGGGGGCAAAGCCTTCAGGGCTTTGTTCCTCTTGAGATCAGGGCAAGCCTAGGTATGACTTGAACCCAATACAACCAGTAGAGCTGAGGCCAGTGCCGGCTGCCTGAGTGCTACTAAAGAAAGGGTGGCTCCCCAGAATCGGCTCCCTCTGCCGTAGCCAGACACAGGTGGAACACTGTGCTTCCTTTTGGGAGACAAAGTAGAAGCCATCCAGAGGGGGCAGATGGGAGACAGGCCCAGGCAATGCAGCCCTACAAACATGACTTGAAGGATGGGGATGAGCAGCTTGGATGAAAAGAAGGCTGCCTTTCAGAGCTATTTCAAATGTTTCAGGGATTGCTAGACAAACTAGAGTTGTATGGCTTCAGATGGCATGGCTTAGGACCATAGAGTAGGAATCACAAGCAGGCAAACTTCAGGCTCCCAGGGGAGCTGGGCAACAACCTGGAGGGGCTGAGGAGAATGGGCTGTCCAGGGAGTGGGGATACGAGGGTGGGGCAGTGTGGTCATCCCTGGAAAGGGTCTGGAAGTGTCAGATGGTAACCATTTGGGTTGAGGTGTGGCTGAGGATTCCTGAAAGGCTGTCAGAGAAACTACGAATCAAAGCTCAAGTCTGTGAAGGAAGACATCATGAAATCCCTAAAGTTCTGAGAGGTTGTATCAGGTTCTTTATGGAGACAACAGAGAGAATGCCTGCCGACTCTTGATTCACAGTGTCAGGCAGCAGCAAGGAGGAGCTGGTAGCCTTGGGAGGGCAAAAAACAAGGACGAGGTCCACACTGTATCCCGCTCACATCACCTATGAACAAATAAGGTGGGGTGGGAGTGGAGAGTTGCTAGAATTTACGTAACTCTCAAGCCTTAATTTAGCTGCAAGAACTAGGTTTTTGCCAAGGCTATAGAACTTCCCACCAGATGAATTTTACCTCTTTTTCTTTCTTAAGAGAAGAGGGACAGAAGGAGAGAAAACACAAGAAAGAGGATGGAGATGAAGGTGAGGAGTTTGCTAGCTGGAGGCTGTAAATTTTGAAGCATCAGCATTCATCTATGGTGTCTTGGTGACAGGTTGCTAGAGGCATTGGCAGGCTACCTTGAGGCAGAGTGGTGTCATGACAAGGGCACTGGGCTGGAAGACAGCTGCTATGAGCTCTCAGCCCAGCCCTGCCTCTCACTAATTCTAGGATCCTAGGTGACTCATGTCACTGCTAGCTTGGCGTTTTGTTTCTGCAAAATGCAGGGTTGGATTAGACTGCCTGTAAGGTCCTTCCCCAGCTCCTGGGAGTTGTGGCTTTATGATCAGTGGGCATTCAAGCCATGGTCTGGCAGAGCTGAGGACTAGGGTCAGGGATAACCTATGATTTCTGTCCTGCTTCCTAATTTCCTGAGATTCTGGGGATTTTTGTAGCCCATTTGGCAGGGATGCCCAAATCAGGGACAAAGGAATGCTGGGGATGAGTCAGTGATGTGGTAGAGGGAGAGGCTGGGTAGGCAAGGGTGGCACTTACAGCAGGAGGAGATGGGCACGCTGATGGCCAGGATCACCCAGGCGATATCCATCTTGCTCAGGCAGATGGTGGCTCTGTGCTGGGGTTTGTCCCCTTCGGCCACGTGGGATATGTTCCCTGCTGTCCCAGGCTTCCAGGTCCCGGCAGGAACCAGGCGGTTGAGGAAGTTGCCTGTGGCTGTGGATACCACTGTGGAGAAAGGACTGGGCACCCTGTCGGTCATGGTGTAGGTGGCTGCAGTCTCTTCCTTGGCTCCAGAAATAGTGCTTTCTGAGACCCTGGGGAGATGGGTTGGAGCCTGCGTGGTTGTGGATGCTCCCTGAGGAATCCCCTGGGAAGGGGCTGAGACACTGGCATCGAAGGCAGTTGGGGTGGGCCCCGTGGCGGCCGTGAAGACCCCAGAGCTGGCAGATGGAGGTCTGTTGGTGCCAGGGGTGACAGTAAGCCAAGAGTCACTATGGCTGGGGCCGTCCTGTGGGTCACCGCGGTGGGGGCGCTGAGAAGGCACTGGGGCAGGTTGTGGACTGGCAGGGGCACCTGAGGCTGCTGTGGCATCTGGCGTCCCTCCTTGGCTGGTGAAGGTCGAACCACCTCCCTGGGCCACTCTGCGAAGGCCTGGCTTGTCCTCTGCAGGCCCCAGGGAGGTGGTGGGAGGTGCCCACGAGGTATTGCTGGGCGCTGTAGTGACAGCCATTGTCTGGGGCTGTGGTGAAGAGGAGTAGCCCCAGAGCCGGGTCCTGGGGGTGAGGGCAGAAGGGTCCAGCTCCACAGACCCAGTGAAGTTGCCCTTGTAGATCTGGAAGATTTTCCCCAGGGGCCGCTTCTGCCCTAGAGGTGTGGAGCTTGGGTTTCGTCCCCGCTGTCCTTCCTTACTCCTGGAGTGGCCACCAGGTGCAGGTGGGACAGGGCGTGATGAATTGCCAGCCCCTTTTCGGGAGGAGCCTGGGGGCCTGGGGGGCCTGCGTGTGGTAGCGCGTGGGGGCGCTGCAGTGGGGCGACCGGTGGCCCTCGGTGGCTTTGTCAGCAGGATGGTGGGAGTAGCCTGCCCCGGGGGGCGGCCCTCTGGGTGGGAGGATGTGGTTGCTGTGGCCACTGGAGAGGGCCCTGTGGGTAGGGAGCTTTTAGAATGGGGGGTGGTTACTGTCGCAGCGATGGTGGAGATGGTGTGCGTAGGAGGGTGCCCCTCTGTATGGGGTGTCGGTGTTGCCATGGGAGCTGAAGCCTGTGAGGGGGGTCCATTGGGATTGGGGGTCAGTGTCACCACAGAAGCGTGTCTGGTAGAGCTGTGGGGTGCTGTCATCATGGTTCCTGGGGGACTGCCTGAAGGGAGGACCTGAAGAGATTCCCTGGGAGATGGTTCCTGGATGGCAAATGCCAGCGCTTCGGTCAGTGCCAAGATCAGCAGGAAACCTTGAGAGGGAGACAGAGAGAAGGGGTGAAATACTTGGGGAACAGCATACAGCCTGGGCCTTTCTTACCTGTGGCTAGGGACAGTGCTGGGAACTCAGGAAACGTCAGGAGCATTCCTGAGGCCCACTCTAGTGTCCCCACACTGCATCAGAACTGTCTGGGGTACTGGGGCAGGTATATTAGGTAGGTGCTGCCTGGCACCTCCTGGAAAGAGACACCAGCACCAGGGGGACCGGAGCAGCCACCCTGCCAGGCCTGTCCTTTCCCACATGCCTCTTAAACGCCATCAGCCCTCCCCACAAGGGCAACTTCTCAGAACAGGCTGAGGGTGCAGAAGGCTTGTGGCCTCTATATCTGCCTCTTCCTCTGCGGCCAGGAGAGGTCAAGGCCAGCTTGCCTGTGGGGAGGCCTGCAACCCCGTGGGAGCCACCGTAAGCCAAATGAGGAAGGCCTGGGAGGCAGTGTGGTCCAACTCCTATGCCCTTTTTGGAATCTTCCATTTATAAACTACACAAAGGTAAAAACGAACAGACCTCTGTCCCTTCACAGCCATTTACCAAACAAGGAGGCTCAACCCTCTCCCTGACCCTGGATAAGTTCGCACATATCCACAAACAATCCTAAGATAGGACAAAGATGTCTCAGTGACATAGAAGAGTGACAGGCAGAAGAGGACAGGGGTCCAGAGAAGGGCAACCAGACCTGGAGCCCATAAAAGCACTTAGCACAGCCTGGAAAACAGGGTGTCTTCTACAAATGCCAGCTGGTGTCATGGTTGTTATTAACTGCTTTTCCTATGGCATTCATGTGGCTGAACTCTGTGGAAAATTGTCATTGGTGATACCCAGCCTTTTTGAGTAGAAGGAGCCCTTTTGAACATTTTTTTTAAAAAGGATTTTGTATGATAGTCAATGTGCAGTTTCAGTTCATTGAGAAAATGCACAAGGACAAAAAACATTTCTAGTTATGTGTGAATTTTATTAGTCACAGCAGCATATGCCTATATTTAAAAATGGTTCCTCATGCAAGCATGAGATGTAGGAGCCATTCCCTGACAACACATGGATTAGCAAGAGCCTGTCTGTACTGCTGAGGAGCGGCCAAGTGACCTCTGAGGCCTGATTCCGACCTGTTAGCATCTCCTTGTTCATGAATCCCCTTCTTTGTCAGCCTCTGGCAGTTCCTTCAACCTCTGCTAGGCCCCCCTTGATTATGGAGAGAGATCTCCGTGTCTGATTACTCTCTGCGAGCCTCTTTCCCCCATCAGATTCCAGCAGGACACATGGCCAAAAGAGGAGTCCAGCTGTGATTCCCAGGTGTCTGATGGAGAAGGCAGGGCCCTAGGGAGATTCCAGGAAACAGAGTTGGGGAGGAGATCTCCAGGCATGCCTTTGACACAAGGCCCAGGATCACCATTTGGTGTGTGGTGGAGCCTTGTGGTGGATGGACCAGTGTCCTTCTCATGCTGCACTTCTAAATTGGTGGGTTGTGGGAGGCTGCGGGGACTTTAGATTGCACTGAGGCTGTAGCACCCTCCAATGCTAGGACCAAAAATTTGCCCTAAACAATATTTTTTTCTAAACTTTCATTCATGATCTAGACTAGTGGTGCCCAACCTTTTTGGCACCAAGGACAAATTGTCTTCCACTTGATTTTGTGGAAGACAGTTTTTCCATGGACTGGAGTTGGTGGCGGGGCATGGTTTTGGGATGAAACTCTTCCAACTCAGATGAGCAGGCATTAGATTCTCATAAGGAGCACACAGCTTAGATCCATCCTTTGCATGTGCAGTTCACAACAGAGTTTGTGCTCCTGGGAGAATCGAATGCTGCTGCTGATCTGACAGGAGGCAGAGCTCTGGTGGGAATGCTGTGGCGCTAACGCTGGCTTGCCGGCCTCTTGCCTCCTGATATGCAGCCTGGTTCCTAACTGGTACTGGTCTGCGGCCCAGTGGGTGGGGACCTCTGATCTAGACCACACACCAACAGTACCTTTTGCGTATTTGAGCCAATCCTAAAAGCTGTTTACTGAATACCTGCCCTGACCCAGGCTTTCATGCTTACTTTAATCCATATGACCACTTGGTGGGACATGAAATTGAGGTTTGGGGAGATTAGGCAACATGTGGAAAGTCACACAGTAGCAGAAGTATGTGAAACAAGGGCTGCCTTTAAAGTGCATGCTCATCCTGGTCAGCCACCATCAGTGATGCAGAGGGAGAACAAGGACAGTATGTTGCATCCCAGAAGAATTAACGTGCTGCCATGCTCTGACCCGTTCAGGGCTATCCTAGCGCCCCTATCCTGCCCATGGCTTAACACCACAGAGACGAGTTATTCCTAGGGCTAGTGGTGATGACCTCCATGTTTTGTGGGACATTCCCTTTCAAGCCTCTGTTTAGCTCACAAGTGTTAAGTGTTATTAAAAGACTGACTTGTGCACCCCCAAAATCCCTATTGAAAGGATTGAAGCCCTAACTCCCAGTACCTCAGAATGTGACTATATTTGGAGATAGGGCCTTCAAAGAGGTAATTAAAGTAGAATGAGGCCAATAAAGTGGGCCCTAATTCGATCTGACTGGTGTCATTCTAAAAAGAAGAGATTAGGATACACAGACATCCAGAGCACGTGTGCACAGAGGGATGACCATGTGAGGACACAGCAGCTAGAGGGCGCCATCTCCAAGCCAAGGAAAGAGGCGTCAGGACTCCAATTCTACAGGCACCATGAACTTGGACTTCCATCCTCCTCAACTGTGAGGAAATACATTTCTGTTGTTAAGCCACCCAGTCTGTGGTATTGTGTCATGGAAGCCCTAGCAAACTCATATACATGCCTGATGTTGGAGATCCTCTGAAAAAGGAGAGACAGAGACAGGGCTTGTGTGCAGGAAGTTTATACTGGAAAGTGATCTGTGGGGTCAGCTGTGGGGGTCTGAGACAAGTGAAACAGGGAAAACCAATCTGAGGGCAGGTTATGAGCTGATCCAGGTGGGCACCTCAGACTCACGGGGGACATCGGTGGAGCTGAGTAGGCTGCACCTCAAATTGTCTGCCTGAAAAGAACACTCACCCAGAGGCTCCCATATTCACTGGTCAGGGGCTGCTCCTGGGGTGCTCATCACTGCGCTTCCTGACTGATGCCAGGTCTCCACTGGCTGGCCCAGAGAAGCCCTGGGCCAAGGGGCTGCCAGGTTCTGCCTGCACCCAGCTGGTGTTTGCTGCAACAGCTGGACTTAAAATTAAGGGCCCGGGGAATCTCTGGGGCCACGCACCGGATGTGTCAGACAGAACCAAAGACCAGAGGACCAGAGACCGAGGACATAGCAGTCTTTTGGCAGCAATGTCAAATGCAACACAAAGCTTTAGGAGAGACCTTAGCTTTAGGAGAGAGCAGCCCTTGACCAGTGAATATGGGAGCCTCTGGGTGAGTGTTCTTTTCAGGCAGACAATTTGAGGTGCAGTCTACTCAGCTCCACCGATGTCCCCAGTGTCTGAGGTGTTGACCCCAGGGACAGGCCCTCGGGTGTGAGAGGAGCCACCATGGCCTCTAGGAGAACTTTTGCAGCACTCCAGAGACAGAGAGAGGGGTTAATACAGACTGGTCTTCAAAACACTCAGAGGAAAAAATTCCCCTGACTTTCCTGTCATTGGCACTCCAGGAACTAACATCCTCCTAGCTGGGAAGCCTATGACTGGAATCCTTGGTGCTGTAAGATACATAGTCTAAGTAAATATGTTTGCCCTTGTTGTTGCTGCTGCCTATTTCCCCCACCCAGCTATCAGCATCCCCTGAAGTTATTGTTCTCTCTAGAAGAACCATATAGAGTTACCTCTTAGCCCTTTCTTCTTTGGACTATCTTTGGCACAATGAATGGATACTGCCACCCTGGGTGCCAAGGGCTTTGACCTGGAAGATGATGTTTAGATGTTACAGTGTAAGGGGATCTAGTGTTTCACTGAATCCAATCCCCTCATTTCACAGAGTGGGCAACAACAGGAGGGCAATATATAACTATATATTGCCCAGGCTGGAATGCAATGGCACGATCTTAGCTCACTGAAACCTTGTCGAAGAATGCATTACTGGTTGGGGACTCAGCCTGGACCACAGCCACTATTTCAAAGCAACTTTTCATTTGTATGATAAAAATCCCTACAATGCTGTACTAGCCAAACACCACCTCTAACCTCTACTGTCACCTTCAATATGGAAATCAGACTACCATTTACCTCTCTTCTTTGGCACAAAAGGTTAACAACTAAATGCTATGCACACTGTCACAATAAACAGCTAAGGCCTTCAACCGGGGTCTTCCCTAACACATGCAAATTTTCATTCAAGGCCCTTTGTGCTGGCCTACACATTCCCGCTCCCCACAATCTGGGGATACTGCCTCTTTGCATATTATTTGCATGGATTTGCATAATAGACTCTAGAGGCTTTAATTCCAAATATGCAGGAGACACTAAAGCTAAAATCTAGCTTGACATGCTTGAAATGTGGAACTGATTTTTAAAACATGTCCAAACATGGACAAGTGTTGGGGGGTGGAATCCACATATTGATGGGTGTCCACACATCACAAGAAGGTCTCCTTCTACTGAAAATTCCAATGCATACATGAGCTCAGGACCCAAGGGAAGGAAAGGCCCTCCTCCTCCTCCTGTTTGGTTTGCTGCCTGCAGTCCATATTGGGCATGACATTCACATCTGGCAAAGGCAACAAGGGAACTGGTGAAAAGGGAAGTGGCTAATATGTACTATACACTGCTCAAAGGGCTAAGCCTGTACTGACACATTTAATCCTCACAGCCATCTGATGAAGCACGTAGTATTATTAGCTCCCTGTTGCAATTGAGGAAAAGAAGCACAGAGAGGTACAGGAACTTGCCCATGGTCACACAGCTGGGGAAGAGCAAGCTGCAATTTGTTCCTTGGCAGCTTGGCTGCACAGTTTACACTCTCAACTACTTTCATGTATTGTTCTGCCCCATCCA